AGATGTTGCCATATGATCCCTTTTCCGCTCCTTTTCACACACAGTGTGTGAAAACACACATTTACCCAGCAGTCCCCTTCCCAGTGCTTTAAACAAAGCCAGGCTGTCTGATTATTCTTCATGACAGGTGTAAAACTGCTGTATCCACAGCAGAAAACCTCTTGTGATGAGGAATCTCTCACTGCAAATAATAAGCCAGATTTCCGTGGAAACCCGCACAGTTCCAGACCCTGGACAGGCCACAGATTCTACAGCAGGGTTCTATTCCCCTAACAGATACCCAAAGGCAGCTTTTCTTTTAATTAAGTATGAAAATCTATAATGCAGTCAGCATGATGCTTCTTGGTATGTTTATTTTTATATTCCATTTATTTGTTTTGTTCTCAACGTCTTCTTCCATTGGGAGGGAATTTCCTATACCACCTGTGTATGAGGAGTGAATGGGACTTAAGGACTATGGGAGCAAGACAGAGCTCAGTTGTGGTTTTTATTATCAGAGTGCAAGTGGGCACCATTTATGGTTGTGAACTAACACACTAACTGATCTTTTCCATAAAATAATATTGACATTGCAAAGTTGATGTTTTTAAGCTGTTGTCTTTAGGTTTCAATATCACAAAGCTTTGGACTCCAGTGAAGTGTTTCATTTCTCATTACACTTAGTGCTTCACCTTCTGTCTCCAAACTCAGAAAAAAGTATTTATTGTTTCAGTAATATTCTGACAATATTTTATTATTTTTCTCTCCAGCCAAAGGACAAAAATAATTTAATTTCCCCAGCATGAAGATAATGCCATGAATCCCAGCTCTGTGTAGGGAGCTGCTCCATAGAGCCTCTTCCTTGGGGCTCCTAATCCCTCTGTGTCTCCCAGCTTTGATTCTGCCTTTCTCTTTGCCTCATTTTTCCTTTTGACTACTTTTCTGTGCTCTAAGGTCAAAGGTTTTCCCCATGGAAAGAAAATGTTTACCCATTCCTAGCCTTTCCTACACTATTTGCCCACCTAGCATCACAAGCCCCATACCAAGCCTGGCAGTGCTTGGGCACCCAGGCACGACGGGCAGCGAGGGGCTCTCCAGCCCCTTCACCTGCCTGCACACCATGCCCTCCCTGCCATGTTCCCACCCTGGTGCTGCCATTCTGCAGCTGGAGACAATGTGTTGGAGCTTTCTGTCTGAGGGGAGTTCAGGGAGGGGAGAGGGGAAAAGGCTGTTAGATCTATCGCTGGCAATTTAGATTCAGAGACATTTCATCTGCAGTTCCCTCAAGTGTTGAATTGAATAAAACCAGAGCAGCAGTGGAAAAGGAGGTGGGGGAAGGGCTCCAACCACTCTTAGCTAAACAAAAAGAGACAGGCAGCTCATAAAAAAGGAATTGCACCCTTGAGTTGAAAATCTGGATTCACAGGGCAGGGAGGAGGCCGCGTGGCAGAGCCCACCCATGGCCAGGTAGCACTGCTGTGGATTTCTGGCACTCCTGCAGCCAGAGCAGATCACAAGGCTCAGTTCTGGGTTTCCTGATTTTTTGTTGATTTTTTGAAGCTCTTGTTGTAAAATCAAGCAGGAAGAACAGAATCTCAGGCTTTGGCTGCAATTAAAAAAACCCCTGTCCTTCACTTTCCAGTGCTTTACAAGAAAAGCACAAAAGCAAAACCCTCAAGGGTCAAAAATTCAAAAGAAGTAACTTAAAACTTATAATTTTGTAAACACTTTCTGCTGAGGGCCAGACTCATCATTCCCAATTGCGGCTGTGGGATGGTAGAAGTGTTCTCACCATTAGGCATTTTTGTTCCTCTGCCTTTGAGGGAATTGCTGTTGGTGGCTGCTCTGGCTATGCACTGCAGCACCTGGATTTCTCTGAATCTGTCCTATTCCCCAGGTGTCAGGTGAGGACAGCTTCACAGGAGCGCTCATCCAGGCCAAGGCTGGGAGGAGAGCCACAGCCATCAGAGAGAACCAGGTTACAGCAGACAGTACATCCTCAGGGGCTCTCCGGCCTTGTGCAAGTGTGGTTCCAATGCCCCTGCAGTGCCACAGGGCTGGCTGTGGCTTCCTTCAGGTGGGAAGGCAGGTATTTTGTTTGCCCCATCCCAACCTTCTTTATTGCCCCTGTGCTCCCTTGTTACATGTTAGTGGCAGATCTGCTGCCTTACACTTTGCTCAGCCCTGCTTCAGGCCAGGTACAGCTGTGCATACAAAGAGCACCTGCTCAGCCCTGCTTCAGAACAGGTCAGGCTCCACAGCCAAAGACTGACCAGCACTGAGGTGACTCCGTGGTACAGATGGGCAGCCTGGGCAGGTGTGTGGCACAGGGCTGAAGGCAACTTGGCCAAGTGTTGTGTTTGCATTACAGTGTTCCCTGCCTAAAAAGTGTCCTCTGCCTTCATGATGCACCTGCAGAATCCCATGTGAAGCACAAAGGTAAGACCAGGGTGAGGAGCTGGGACTCCTCAGCACAGCACCAACATCTTCCCTTCAAGTGATTTCAGCTGTAAAACAGGGCTCTTACCTGTGTCACCAGAATTTGGGAGTCTGATTAGCCACATCCTATAAAAAGCTGAAGCAGTCTTAGTGTAAATCCTGGACCAGAGACCACAGAACAGGAGAGGCTGTCTCACAGGCATATATTTATGCTGCTCTGTTTCCCTGTGCTATCGATCCAGCGGTTTGCTAAGATACAGCCCTGCCTGCTGTAGTGGTCTAATTCATTTTTAGGCATCATTATTTTTCATGTTGTGGTCTTCCCCTGCTTCGGGTTCTCCTCCCCACCCATCCCCAAAAATGCCCATTCCTGTCTGTCTCTAGGCACGAGATGCTCCCACATGTATGTGTGCATACCAGGGAGATGGAGAGGCAGCTTCAGCTACACTAAGCAATTAAACTCCAGTAGCTCAGGGATGAGCAGGAGGCCGTGATTTTCTTTTCCTTCGCAGTAATTGCCTCTGCAATCAGCTTTGATCACCCGAGAGCAGAAGAGATGAGTGCTGCAAGTTGACATCAGTGGTTTTAATATATCCATTTACATATACAGGAGCAGTGCAGCATACAGCTTTCCATAGCGCCTCTGACCTGAAACCATCGCCGCTCCATAGATACCTCATTTAATTTAATACTTCACCACCACTGCGGAAGCCATACGATGGGGATGGGAGGGGGCATAATCAAGCCCTCACTCTCTCGCTCTCCGTGCATGTCTGTAAAAATGACATGAAAGTAATTGCTTTTGAAAAGCAAAGCAGAAATGGCACAATTGATTCCACTTAAATGAGAGGAGAAGGGGTGGGGGTGGGGGAGGCTCACCCTAAACATGCCACCTTCTTTCTTCTTTCCTGCTGCAAGCACATCGCTGCGTGGGGCTGCACTGGGACAGAAGAAAGGTGGGCTTGTCTGAATGGCACGGGAGGGAGGGAAGCTAGGGCAGGCAGTGCTGCTTTGGGCAGAATGCACCCCTTGGTGACCTCAGACCCACAGGCAGATGCTGCTCCATGGAGCCATGTGGCATGCCCCATTGTCATAGGCACTCCTGGTGCCCGAGAGCTGGCAGGGAGCTTCATTGCACTGGAAATCCTAGAATCACTCTGCCTCCCAAACCTGCTCACCTGCCTGGCAGCTGGACGGAGGAGGATGATGAGGGTGAGACATCAGCTCCTCTTCATCTCCAATGTATATCTCATTATCCCTGTTGACAAAGCTTTGTGAGCCTATGGTTTTGGAATCTACCCAGTCTCCTGCTGCTGGTGGATGCTCACCCTTCTGCCAAGGACCTCCCAGTGCCCCCTCTCTGTGACCTGGCACACCACTCAGCCCCCCATCTGTGGAAGTCAGGACCTGGCATCATGGGCTGTGCACTGCCAGTGTGTGCTGAAATACATCTTTAATGTAAACAATAACATGATTTTGTGTTAATTACATGCAAATTGATTATTAGTGTATTTATAGAATGTTGACATCTGAGTGACAGTCTTCAATAAATATGTTTTACTAATCAGTTAGCATTAATTAATATCAAAATCCTCTGTAGGTTTAGCAAGTCAGCGAACATTGGTGAGGCCCCTCTGTTGCTGCCAGTGTTGCTGGATATTGGAAGTGTTGCTGGCAGCACTCATCTGTTCCTGGCAGCAGTGTGGAGCACAAGTGGGCCCAGGGAGTCCAAGGGTAGTGCTGGAAGGACAGATGGACACATGCCCAGAGGGAGAAACCTCTGGGAAACATTGCTCTTGGGAGAGCCCCCCATTCAGCAGGGCCTGCCTGAGGGCAGGAGGGCTGCCAGCTTGAGCCAAGGTGGTAGGGGCCAGGCAGTGCTTCCAAGAAGCCCTGGAGACCCCTTTCTCCAGGACACAGGGCTGCTTCCAGGTATATCTGAGCAGCAGAAGGATGCTGTGCACACAGGACCCTTGTTATGGCAAGGCAATCCCCAGCCAGCATTGCAGAGTTCTTATGCTGAATTTAAACCACCAAGCAGATCAACTCCTAAGCTATGTGGGCGACATTTTCTCTTGCCTCCCCATCTTTAGCAGGGCAGGAGCCATACAGTGCCTGCTGACTGTAGCTTCTCTTGCCCATCACAAGAAGATGAGCAGCATCCCTGAGGAGTAAACGGCCAAGGTAGCGGGGAGAGTAGCTGTGCACTGGGGTCAGCACTTGACTCTTGTCATGCTAATGCTCCTTGGTTGACAATTATGATTCTTCCCTGCTTCCGAATTGTGCAAACACCTTAGAGCTGGGACACCAAGAAGTGAATATGCTGAACCCTTAGAGCTGCTTCTGTTCAGGCAGATGCTCAAGCTGTGGGGTGCCTGAGCCCCTTCTGCTCCGCTCTGAGGACAGCAGACACAGGGAAAATGCCTGAAGAGCTCAACATGCTGCTGCAACAGGAGCTGGGTGTTTGATTACTGGTTAGAATAATTTTGGTCTTGCTCAGCTGTTCTTTGCTTCCCTCACTGCGGGAGCCTGACACCCCTTCTGTGAGCAGAGGCAGGTGTCCCAGTCAGCAGGGCTTCTGTTTTCCTGAGCTGGACATGTCTGCCTGCTGTGGGCAAGCATGTCAAATCACACCTACCATATTGGCTTCCTGTCCCCAGAACATCCGATTTTTGCAGCTAATGTGTGGGGGGTGTCTCCTCCTGCCAATCCCCACCCCCAGCAGCATCAGGTCTGTGCTGTTCGGGGTTTTGTTAAGCCGTTTAGTATTAATTGATTTTTTTTTCCATTTTTTCTTTCTTTCCCTGGGCGGGTCAATAGCTGGATGCTCAAGAGCAGAGGATCTATCAACTGCAGACCAAGCAGAGGGAGAGGCAGGCAGACCTGGAGCAGAAATGCAGCCAGAGCAGCAGCTCAGCCAGGACCTGGGGGCCAGCTACCAGCTACGGAAAGGAGCTTGGAGCAGGTAGGAGAAGATACCAGTCCACTCTAGCTCTGCAGCCCAGGCTGAGAAGGGAGCTCTATTTGATCCATTCACAGCAATAACAATAATCCGCTGCTCTTGTTTACATGGCAGCGTAAGGAAGGGATGAAGATGTGAGAGTAGAGTCTGTCACCTCCCAGTGAGGAGGGGAAGATGGAGGCAGCAGGGAGATGGCTACAGCTCTGCCGGCTGTGAATGGGTTGTGGGATTGCAGTTGCTGTGGGGGTGTGATGGCTGTCATGCACAGATGTTGTGGGTGCTGCTCTGCTGCTGACCTTGGAGAGACAAGAAGAGGATGGCCACAAAAATACTGCCTCAGGGCAGAGCTGTCCTGGCTAGTGGTGACATTTACATGCTGTGAGCCAAGAGATTAGGATTGCTCATACCTGTTCAGCCATGCTGCTGTGGACAAAAGCCTCCGCTTGTCCCTGGACATCAGGTTAGGAGCACCCTTGTTCCTGCTGGAGGCCTGCTGGGCAGCCTATGCCGGTCTACCCCATGCTGGATCTGTTTGCCCCTGCCCCGCCACCGACCCCTGTATTTCAGAAGCTGTAGAAGTCAGACCCTTTGCTCAGTGTGCTCCCCTGTGTGTGAGCCTGGTTTGGGAAAGCACATTGCTCCCACCTCTGCAGACATCAGGCTGTCTGCCTGATGTCTGCTCAGGCACCAGCATTCCTCAGTGGACTCCAGCTACAAGGTCTCCTTTGGATCCACATGGCAAACAGGGGTGAGGAGAGCTGATCCTGGAAACCTGGGGCATTCCTGCTGCTGCACACTACAGCATTACTTGTTTAACCTGGTATCCACTTGTCCCTTTAGCACCACATAAGCCATTTAAAAATATGTCTATTTTAACAACTTGCTAGTGAAATATGCTTGGGGTTCGGGTAGAATAAACCAAGTACTTTTGACATTGGAGTACCAGATACCAGCATACTGGATACTCAGAACCGCTGGTTTGTCTAAGCAGCAGCTCAGAGGACAGCGTTTAAAATAGAGTTGGGGGTGTCCCTCTTATTAGTCAAAGTGGAGACATTTTGTTTCATTTGATGTAGTGATGATAAATATATTCCTATGAATATGTTCATATACCTAGTCATACATACATGGCAATATATATAAAGAGAATGCATTGATTACATTAATTGCATTTGAAGGAAAGTTACAAGATGTTGTTTTATTTACTCCTACATCATCCATTGTTCTGTGTGTGAGGAGTCAGCCCAGCATGTGGGCTGAGCTGTGCGTGGCAAACCCGCATTCCAGCTGCCCACAGTGAAGGTGGGAGCAGGATGTGTATGCCTTTGCCTGCGTTTGTGGATGGTGGCAGATGGATGAATGCGGGAGAGGGTCAGCATGTGCCTTTGTTTTATTCTACATATACATATGGATGATCATGTGTTGATTTGTGCAAGGACAGCATGGCAGGAGGGGAATGACACTCTGCTTCTTCCTACTCCCCTTCCCTTCCCTTCCCTTCCCTTCCCTTCCCTTCCCTTCCCTTCCCTTCCCTTCCCTTCCCTTCCCTTCCCTTCCCTTCC